ATATTTCTAATGTATTCACAGTTTTGTATTTTATTCATTCATTTTTCTCATAAATGCAAAAAATCTGCAGGCTAAATATAACATCAATTTTTTTCGTATTTAAATGAAATCAACATACTTTCACGTACACCCTAATCCAGTTGGAACCCAATTCTTCAACTGCAGGTTGTGCTGCGATTTCATCTTCAGTTAATCTGTCATGATAATTAAATGAAATTGGGCCTATGGTGTGTAAACTGGTTAACCAATTTTTGTGAACTGTCAAACAAATTCTTTCGTCCGTTACTTTCATATATTTTGCTGGCACAAGCAAATCCTTTCGTATCGTTTCCATTGTTCAGTTTTTTATCTACACTTATAAAACAATAACTTCGAATGCAAAGTCACTTGGAAAATATTTTAGAACAGCCGTCATTCGTAATCCTTATATTATCTTTGTATTGTTTCGAGATTTATACTATATTAGTATCCACACACAAATTGTATGTTATATATTTTTATTCGTGGATGACATGTATGTAGTTAGCGAACAGCTGACTGCAGCTGACAATCACTGACAATAGACGCCATATTTTTACTATGTAGCTTCAGCTTCTGCAATATTGTTGTAGGTGGTGTTGTAAATAGTACATATTTACATGACAGGCAAGGGGTTGAATTGTAACAGGTAGACGGTAGGCATATACTATGCATATACTACATATGTATTTATATACATATTGTAACAGTAATCTCTACTAAAACGACTTTCTTTCAGGAAGGTAAGAGTGGAAGGGTTACCCATCCGCGTTCGATACATGTCTGAAAGCATAGCGTGGCATTCGTGAATCTTGGGAAAAATTAATTTTTATAAATTCATAAGAGAAATTAATTCATTTAAATTTATAGCAAAAAAATGTGCTGTAAAGTGGTAGAGCGAAGACCTCACAAACGGGATAGGATGATGCTAATAGATTCCATTGGCATCATCCAATCCCATTTGTGAGGTCTCCCCTCCATCACTCGTAGTACATTCCAATTTCCAAGCAGATCCATAATATAACCATAACATCACTGCTGTTATTATTTAGTCCTGCGATTATTCCACGTTTTATTGCTGAACATTGTCTGAATGTCAGCATTCAACGCGAATGCTCAATAACACTTAAAAACTAAATGTAAACTAAATATGTAATTTAAGTTTGGATTAATATATAAAATATAATACAGTGTTTGTACAAAATGATACAATGCGTTTCTATGCGTCTGTTGAAAATTCGATCTCATGCACAGTTAATGAATCGTTTATTCAGTAATACGAATATAAACAGATGTTCCAGTAAAAGCTTATCTAAACAAGACATTGATGATTCTAAACAAATTATAAAGTCAGTGAAATATCCTGATTATAAAGTAATCTATACTTATCCAGGCATTAAATATGTTTCTGTTTTAAACTTAGCAAAACGTAATCAAAGTATTTTTTTTGGAGTATCTATCTTGGCATCTACAGGTGCATGGTTACTGAATATGATATCAACAGATCTTTGTTTATCATACATAAGTGGTTGTA